AGAGAAGGTTTATTTGGGCTGTAGGAATCCACATGTACAAATGAACTCCCGGGTTGGAGTTTCACTGACACTTGTGAGAGACTTGGAAAATACACTTGCGAAACAAAGAGAAGATGGGGGATATTTTGGGGACAGGGAAGGCTGCAGTTCAGCAACACCTAGCCTGGAGTTTACTTAGGGATACAAATTCAACAACACCTAGCCTGGAGCTCACCTAGGAATATGAATTCAACACCTAGCCCAAGGTTTATTTAAGGATATGTGACCTTTGTATAAAGTCATGTCTACACTGTATCTTGCATTTCCCAATTCTTTGGCAGTTAAGTGCTCCATCTGCATCCCACAGATACTTGTTATTTGGTAAGGAAGCTTCTGATGTGAGCGCCAAAGAATCCAGATTCAAACCTTTGTCACAAATGATTATTGAAAACTTAATGGCCATTAATAATACACATGCAGAACTGAGTAGCACTTAACAGAAATATCTGCATTTTCCTACAAACACAATATGTAAACCAATTCTAAATACAGAGATTAGATTCCAGAACTGGATTTTTTTGCAGAAATCACCTAATTCAGAGTATTTTTATTTTAGGGGTTTCCAAAATAGAGCACAGAGTTCCCCTCTGTGAGCTGTAATTACACTATTTCATTATTTATCATGTGCTGGCAGGGTCTAATTTATTAGATTGTTGCTTGCTGAATTTTATGTGCATTCCGAGCAAATAAAATTCCTTTTAAAACAAAGTTGAGTAAAAAGCCATGGTACATCACAGTTGTGGTTAAAAACTGTTTCTACTACATTGCACATAACATACTTGAATTGCAACTTTCAGAAAATTTTCTCTTTTATGTATCAGATTAAAGGTCATTTAGCTACACACATGGGTTTGTCAAATGCAGTCACATCTCTCCTTCTTTCAAGAGTCCCAGAATTTCAAATAAATTATGAATAAAGTCAGAGAAAATCAGTCTTCCATCTGGGATAACTACTTGCAAAGTCCAAGCTAAGTAGGTTTGAGCCAAACTGGTTTTAAGCCAGCATTTTACATGGCTGTTGTGACAAAGGCAGCTAGCAGATGCCAGCAAAGAATTCGCCAAGGGGCTGGAAAGAAATCTTTCCAAATATCCAAATGATGACTTACAATTCCAAGCACACCAAAGAGTCCCATCTTGCTTGTAAACCTTTCTTGTGCAACAAAGTATTACAGTATATTCTATTTATAAACTCATAGAAAACTTCTTTTATGTTGTTTCAGACTCCAATTACTAGGACTGTACAGGTACTTTCCCAGTTTATTTTTAAAGCAGTGGCTGCACAGTCACATCCTTTTGCAATTTCTATGGTTCTCACTTCTGTTGCTGGTTCTAAACAAACTGGCTTATATTTGCATACTCTATGTTTTTATTTTTATAATAACATACTACAGGACAAATATACTCCCAGGTATTCTATCAGAAAGGTGAATATCCCTTGACTAAAAACTCTAAGAAACTGGATTCCACATCGATTCTCAATTCTAATGTCAGTGTGAATAATTTAAAAAACATTTTGCATTTTATATAAGCCTAGGAGTATTGTATATGTACATATTCTAATTACTCAAGATAGAGTATAAACTAAAAAATCTCGGTCTAATCAAAGTTTTTCCTCCTAGTTCTCATTTCACATCGCACTTTCTGTAATGGCCTTGAACAATCTCCAAAACATAGAAAATTCACTGTATATACAGAAGGAACCAAACTTCTAGATTTACAAATTCCTCTTTAACTCAATACTGAGAAAGACCAAGTAATCTGTACCAAGAGTTCTTAACTGCTCTAATTCAATTACAGGATTGAATAGTCATATACCCAATTAATTTCTATAGGCTTTTTAAAAAGCAGTGGATAATAAAGATGATGCCCTTTGATTTGCTGACTTTATAAAACAGATAGATATGATTTACTTTGTACGAGTTCAATCATTCCATGCAGCCATTTTCTCCCCTTTTGTATTATTACAATTTTCTACATTATTTTGCTTAAAAATTGAATCATTCTTCCTTTATAGTGAAGAGTTTTTGATAATGCAATTCAACTGCATTTCACATTTGACATATATATATAAATAAATGTAACTGTAAATCAGCTGCAACTGGGTAAAAGGAAGTGGGTAACATTTTCCTGTACAGCAAGATTAAAAATAAAATAAAATAAATACATTATTACACAGTGCAAAATGTACCTGAGAGAACTAGTGCTTGCTACACAAAACAAGTGAACTGACACACAGGTGGCTTCAGAGAGTACTGACATTTTACAATGGGAATCTTAACATTTAAAATAACCAGAGACACTTGTACTACTTTCATTGTGTGGTGCATAAAAGTATAACCTACCCACAAACAGGACTGGCAGACAGGCTCCCCATGGGGCAGACAAGGTGCTGACTGGCATAACTGAGGTGTGCTAACGTTTAGTGGTTTATGTTTTGTAGGTGCCAATGGAAAAGTACAACAACATCTGTTTTCAAAATACGGTATTTCACTGTCAGCTCAGTGTTACTTCCACTCCCCAAGGATACACATGAATTGTTCCTTATGAGAGCGGAGGTGGGAAAGGAAACCAGACTCACCAGTCAAATGTATGCTCTTAAATAACTAACAATAGTAATTGCTTCTGCAAAATCTGAGAGGACTTGAAGTATTTCCTTGTTAATTTATTACCATTACCCTCTTCTTACAATCCATCCTGCTCTTATTACAGATCTTGCAATAATATTTCCTTAATACTTCAATTGCTATAGAGGCATTTACTAAGCTATGATCTCAGCTTGCCTTTAAAGCTTTCCAATATGCTATGAAAGGAAAGCTTATTTAAATACTCATGGTTGCCTACAAGTGTTCTGTGTCTTATATCCTTAGGGATTTGTACTTCAATGCTCATAGAAGCCTTTTCTTTGTTAAGGCATTTTTAAGATCTCTTTTCTGAGTGAATTTTCTCAGGCTTTGCTAATGTGAGCTCACACTGCAACCTTCTCTGCATTCGGGGCACACGCAGCTGCCTGGTTGCATGTCAGAAAGCTGAGAAACACAGTTATCTTCGAGACCGATATTTTTTACTGTGGTTGGCACAAAGTCAGCACAAGAGGGAACTCTGCCAGGTTCTTGCATCCCACAGAAGAGATTAAATCAAGTGCGGGGGCAACAATCACGTGCCAAGCTGAGAAGAGAAAACCAAGAGCCCATGGAATACCTGAGTTCAGCAGGGAGGGCACAATTATGATTTGATGGGCACCAAGTTTAAATTTCCAGGCAAATTGCTGTGATAGCAGACAAGTTTTGGCAAGTTCAGGCAGGTGGCTGGGAAAAATTAAGGAAACAGCTCTAACAGATCAGGAATCAAGGGGTGTAGGGAATGACCAGCAGCAACAGGTGTGCTTTACTCCCATTTCAAATGGGCAGGGGAGCTGTGAGTCAGAGGTACAGACACTTACAGTATGGGGTTTTCTGGGTGGCAGGTATTTTGGGTACAGACACTTACAGTATGGGGTTTTCTGGGTGGCAGGGTGTTGCCAGCAGCAGCTGATGAAGACATTCAGTTACTGTGGGAAAAGCACGCACACGCAGCATAAGTATTTTTTCCAAGCTGAGAAACAATGCCTATTTTTGTATTATTAATATTGGTTTTCTTTTTTTTTTTTTTTTAAAGGAAACCAAATAACAGCAACATCCAAAAACTGTTCCTCATCTTACCTTCACTTCTGGTGCCACACGAATTATTTACTTTTTTTTTTTTTTTTTAAATTATGGCTGACTCCTTCTTGAATGCTTTGGATTGGTACATGTCTCATCCAACAGTTATTGACCCTAATTCTTAGTCTTTTCTGCCCACGTGAGGGTGAATGTGCTGACACTCGTCTAAGAGTCAAAATATCCAGTCCCCTTTGCAACTTAGACTTGGGATGTACAACTTTCTTTTCATTTCCATTTCTTCACCAGCTCTGTGAAATAAAAGAATTTTCGAAGCCAAAATCCCCTGAGGTTTATGAACGGAGCGTTTCTTTGCCTACCAAGCCGGGGGGACACAGACTACCACAGAACTACCTCCTCCCTCACATTTTGGGACGTCTATCTTTAACTGCTCATCTTTTCACACCAACTGCCTTCACTCACTGCATTCCCAGTGCTTGCCTGCATTATACAGATGCTTTTTTATCTAAGTGTCTTCAGATTAAACTCCAAGTATTGTAACCTAAATTTACCAAAATTGCCCCTAGAACTTTCAGCTTCAGGGCACGTAATCCCTTAAAATAAGGTCGAATCATTTTACACGATAATATCCTCATTCCTGCCGAGTCACGCCGGGTTTGAGCTTCAGTTATTTGCCTTGGCCTATTTACCCGGTAAACTTCTTGGGGTTTTGTTTGTTTATTCTTTAATATAGACGAATACCTGGACAGTGCTGCTACACAGAAGGACAGACGCTGTTGAAAACACTTCTGGTAGGGACACATCGCCAGCACACCTACCGGTTGTCATTCTGCACTGGCCTCACGACTTTCTGCTCCCCAACCAAAGTTTTCTACATTACAGCGCTTCCCGAGGAGTTTTTAACGAGGCGCTCGGGAAGGCGGCACCGCTGAGGCGAATCCAGGCGGGCTGGGCTCTCTCCCTCCCGCCTTTCCTCCCTGCCGGCCGGGGGGCCATGTGACAGCGCGACTTCTGCCTTCAAGCCGCCGAAAGGGAAGGGGAAGGGGCCAGACTTATCCTGTTGCTCCGGCTGCCGCTGAGGCCGCGGGCCCGCAGGGGAGGCACCGCCCGCACCCCGCCACAGGTGCAGCCGGCACCCAGAGCGCCGCGGCCCCGGAGCGACGTCGCCGGCCCTCACAGAGGTACGGACAGAGCGCCTCGCCCGCCGCTCGCCGCTCGACCCCCGCGCCGGGGCGGGGCCCGGCCAGGCCAGGGCAAGGCAGCCGCCCACCGCGAGCTGCGCCCGCCGTGGAGCCGTCCCGGCTGCGGTGCAGCCGCCCCGTGGGCAGCCGGGCGGTCCGGCGGGTGCGGCGAGCGGGGTCCTCTGCCTGTGGGCCATAAAGGGCCGGGCAGGGGTGGCGCGGCACTGCGGCACCGGGCGCCCGGCGGGTGGATGCGGCAGCGGGGAGCGGCGGCAGCTGGTGGGAGCGGCGGCAGCTGGTGGGAGCGGCTCCTCCCACCGCCGCCGCCTCCTCCGCCGGCGGCTCTCGGTAGCGTCTCTCCAGCCGGCGGCAGCGCGGCCCTGCCTCAGCATGGCTCTCCCCGGGGCGCTCGGTAAGTGCCGCGCCGAGCTGGCCCGGAGCGCTGGCGGTGACCTTGGGCCGGAGCCGTGCGGGGCTCCTGCGGCGGCAGCAGCGCCCGCGGGCCCAGCCTCACCTGCTCGCGGCGCTGGGATGCGGCGCTGCCGCCTGGGCATCCGCGGTGCTCGGAGGCCCCTCTGCTTTTCATGGCATGTGCTCGGTGTAGATTCAAGACTATTAAATGCCTGATCAATAATTTGCTTTTTAAGTAATCATTCCTATTTTTTTTTCTTTTTAAATACCACATGTTTCAAGAGAAATAGCTTTCTTCTGCAAAGGTGCAGACCTAAAGAGTACCCACAGCAGCTTTTCTTTGAGACCGAGATATTTAGGAAAAGAGCATTTACTCGGTGGCATTCATAACCTTCCCCATCCCATTAAAATGTCTAGTTGCTCACCTTGGGCAAAGGACAGCACTTCTACAGAAGGATACTGGATAGAAGAGATTCTTCGAGTTCAGGATGGCACAGCCTGCGTGAGGCTTGCGTGAGGTGCCTCATGACTATTTTAGGTCTATTAGGCTGATTTCAGTGCCATGAGCTAGCAGTGATGTGGGGGAACTTTCATTTCAATCTGTTCTGTGTTTCAGTCTCTCATACTTGAGTGGAGAACGTGAGCTTGGGTTCTGTAAGAAAGAAAAAACTTTGGTGTCAGTATAGGATTGTACTTATGTCTATACTTTCTGTCTCTTCACTATCTTATTATAAGGATTTAAAATACAGCATGGTTTTTCATGCAGTGTATTTCCTGCTGCATTTCTGTTTCTGATCACAATTCTCTGGTAAAAAGTTCATTTAAACTAAGAAAATGCTCAGCCAATTATAAACATACAACCAAATGATTTTTTTATACTAGTGCTGAAAATATTTTAATTGCTGATTTAGCAGCAGAAAAATCTCTATTATTTCACATTGTACTAATACTGCTAGCACTTTTACAATAGTTGAATAAGTATAAAGAGAGTTTTTGCCTGAAGTGCCCCAAAAGGCCCTTGCTCCTGGCAGCTGAATGTATGGCAGGCACTGCTGCTGACAACCACGTTTGTCGAGGTCAGGGGACAGACTCCCATGACTTCCTTGGGGGTTGAAAATGAGAAACCAAACATGAGTTTGGATGCTACTAAGACATGGTAGTGCATTGTCACTGAATTATTCAGCTATACATGTATGTATTTTTATGTTATTTATGTAGTTATACTTGATTTTATGAAGACTTAGTAGTAATTGGAAAACAAACACTCTCCAGGCAGAAAACAGCATAGTCAGATCCTTAGTTCTTTAAAACCAGAGATGCTTTTCTACTGGGATGTGAATGTGTATAAAGTAAGAATGCAAAGTAATATAGGGGAACATTAAACTGCCACATTATAGTCCAGTTTAACTCTTGCTACCTTTTCAAACTGTATTTGCTTTTAGCATAAAGGCAAAAATGTTCTCAAAGCAACTGTGAAAACAGGTATTAATTAGAGTCTTTTAGGCTGAAAACAACAGGATCGCATATCAAAAGGATCACATATCAACATGTGAAACCTGCAGCATGCCTACAGAAAAAATGTAATGGGGGCCCTGATAAGTTGTGCCTGGAGTCATAAAAAACTGCCATAATCCATGCTGGCTTTCAGGATATGTTGTTATTTAAATGAATACTCTCACAAAATATGTTTGCATTTTTTCTAGCCAAAAAGGATTCTGAAATGCCAGTTTTGGATCCAGACTTCACATTCTGGCAGTGCTTGGATCCATTTGTTGTTACTTGTTCGCAGCTATTTTTAATTTACGTAGTAAGAATTTAATCTTATTYGTCACAAACTCCATCATACTGAAGGCATTCAGAAAGCTTTATAATACACAACAAATAATGCTGGTCAGTAGCTTAACAGCACAGTGTTTTTTCTCTCTGGAATGCTGCCAGTTATGTTAAAACATTCTGGATTGTATGAACATGAAATAAAGTATAGCCARGAAACTACAGAAGGAACAATAAAGATGGAATTTTAGTAGTGATGATGGAACAAAATGGAAATATTTTATGATGAAAGGTTAGCTACTTAAAAATTTAAAATAGAAAACTTTTTTTCTTTTTGAAAAATAATGCTCAAATGCCACATAGAAATGGAAGTCTGCATCTTATCTGCTTCTGACACACATTCAAAAGTCTGATATGAATGAACTACTGAAAACATGAAAAAAAGAGTCACTGAGTTAACTACACCATCTTTGCTCCTGTTGTGCAACTATTTTACTTCACTGCAAATCCATGATTTTCTGATTTGTGGAAGGGATGGGGTGAGGTGGAACTGTACAACCTTCTTTTCTAGCTTGCCTGTTGGTTTGAAGTCACTGAGTGAGGAAGAAGGCAAGCAACTGAGTGAATGTGATTTCCAAGCTAAGGGCAATGACACACAGCTGAGTATCCATTGTGTTTCAAATAATTGTCTGTCTGACTGTGCAGGTAAGTGGCATCTACTGGTAAATCTATACAGAAATTGCTTAGGAATTTTTGTGGGTATACCAAGAGGTTCCTGAYGCACAAATTAGCATGGCTTCAAAAGTAGAGCTGCTCTGTGGTTCTTGTGTACTGTGTGCTAGTTTAAATTCTGCAGAGCTGTTCTACTTTATTCAGCTTTTGCTCCAATCTCTGAATTTTGATAGGCATACCATGGAAAACCCCCAGTCTCTTGCATATTTCATCTTTCTGTAGCTCTAACTTTATCCACTGTGCTCCTCATCAGCCGAGATGCCCCGGCAGTTTCCCAAGCTGAACATTTCAGAGGTTGATGAGCACGTGCGGCTCCTGGCAGAGAAGGTGTTTGCCAAAGTTCTGCGAGAAGAAGACAGCAAAGATGCGCTGTCACTCTTCACCGTGCCTGAAGACTGCCCTATTGGGCAGAAGGAGGCCAAGGAAAGGGAGCTGCAGAAGGAGCTGGCAGAACAGCAGTCAGTGGAAACAGCTAAAAGGTTTGTTCTGTCGTTGTTTTCTAAGTGAAAAATAGTTCAAGTGAATTTCAGTTAGTACTGAAACACCTGGCAAACAGCATTTTGCCTCTTACTACTTCAGGAAAAAGGCCAACAGCAGGTACTGTGCCCAGCTATGTGATGTCCTTCTGTCCTGTGCAGGCTTCCCACAGGAAGCTTGTATTGGTGAGATTTTCTCAGCTGTGTTCCCAGCAATAGCACAGATATTGCTTATGCCAGTTTAATAAACAGCATAGCCGCATAGAAATGAACACAACTCTAAGACTCTTTAATGTAAGGAAGTACAAAAACATAAACACTCCCCCCACCTTTTCTAGTTTCATTAAGAGAAACAGAGAAGTTTAACACAGAGATAGTAACAGTGGCTTGATGCTTCTTTTAGTCTCTGCAAAAATAGATGAAAGCAAAGAATTTGTATGCAAGATCAGGGGGTAAGGTGAAAAGTGGTATTGGCATAATGAGGTTATTTGTAGGTTTCCTTTACTCACAGAGATAAAATCTAACCACTGTCAGCCATAAAAATGCATGTTTAAGAAGAAATAAAATTGCATTCTATCTTTAGTTTACCCATGGCTGTAACAAAGCCAAACTTGCTTTGGTTTATGATTTATTTCTGTAAGAGAGGCAGCCTTCCCCAGATGTCAGGCTGTTCCAGTGTCTTGCCTTCACAGGACTGCTGGGCTGTTTCTGGAATCACATGAGCTCAGCAGCAGCCTGATACCAAATGGGTTGGACGTGTACAGACTCTTCAAAAAGCAGGCAGACAAGAAAGCCTTTGAAAGTGATAGCTAAACACATGTACCTGGTTAGCTGCAGACAGGCAGTTGGGYAACATTTGGAATCATGTTTCTGGAACAGAAGGGGGAAGAGTCAATTTAGTTAAATTAAGGTATGACTCACTGATTACACAGGCTGAGACTTTTGTTTGGGAATTGTGCAAGTGGGTTTCCCAGTTGGCATGTTCATAGACATAAACAGGCACAGAAGGGAAAACCAGATGTTTTCAGTCAAATGTTTGGTATATCTTTTCTCCCAAACTAGTAAGTTTCACTTCTAATTTGGGAAGTCTCACAGAAATATGTTCTGTCAAATAAACTTATGTTTTGTACAAGTTTAACTGTGGGAAGTGGGGTATTACAGGTTTGTTGTTTACATGTGGGAACACAACAAGTGTTCATCCCTGTCCTGCAGCACTGAAGTGTACTTCAGGGACAGTGACACAAGTGCAACTTGTGCTGTTTCCAGTTGCAGTTTATCCAACACTGCCTTTCAAAATTGATGCTGATTTCCAAGGTGGCTACACATACTCAAGAGGATGAAATTTGGGTGTTAATTGTACCAGCACTGCATGTTCTTATTCTTAAGAATACCACAGAAGTATCATGCAGCTTCCAGAGAATGTTCCAATGTTCCTTTTTCTTTGTTAGTGATTCTTACTAACATTTTAAGGTTTTGGTATCTAACTTAAAAATTCAGGGACCATTTCCACAGTGAAAAAAAAACCCTGATATTGCAGGTAGTTTGTAACATTTATATATTATATGAATATTTACAATACTCTTAAGCACATTTAAACAGAGTAAGGAAAATGACTTAAATATTTAAAGACATTCGAAAAACTCCACTTGAGGTATTACAATTACTTCACTGGGAAACACACTGTTTCTTAGCTAGTTTATCTGAGGTGCACATCTGTCCCAGCTTTGATGAGAAAAGGCAACATTTTTAAATTTATGTGGGCTCCTCCTGTGGGATGGAACTGACTCCGTATCAAAGCCATACTATGTTATCAGGCTGATAACCAACATCAGCCTTCTGCTCAAGTCTCATCAAATACTGCCTAAGGAATAACTAGGTATTCCTCCTTTTCCTTACAAGTTTAACTGAATGACTGTGTGTGAAATTTTGTTGCACAGTCTTGTCTGACAACTAGATGAGTTTTAAGTCTTGCAAGTTTTGGGAAGAATGAGAAGTGTGTGTAACAGCATGCTAGTCTACAACAATTTCCATATGTACCATTGATTTGTTTCTGTCTGATCCTTCACAAATTCTGATGCTGTCAGTCTCTAGAACTGACTCTTACTAAAGTGAGCACAGTGATCACATTTTCCTTCTGCACAGTGACTTGCTGACACTGAATTTGTAAGAAGCTAAACGAAAACCTTAGGGCATCTTAGAGTGATTGTAAATAAATTATGGCATGTGGACTCATGTGGAGGGTAAGTGCAATTGTTTGTAGTGTATCTCATGTGAATTGTCAATAGAGAAAAGCTAAAAGCACAAGTACTTTCTGATGGACACTTTTTTCTGTGAAAGATTTCACTGAAAAATTCCTAGGGGCTGATTTCTTTGTTGTCATCAGTTTTCCAGTGTATTTAGTGTTTTATACCATGGCTTATTTTATGTTTTATACCATGAATTCATAGGAAGAAAAGTTTCAAGATGATTAGATCCCAGTCTTTGTCCTTACAAATTCCATCTCAGGAATGGAAAACACCACCGGCCAATCCTGTCCTGTCTCCTGCAACGCCAGTTCTTCCAAGTGCTTTTGTGCCAGTCCAAGTGCCATATGATGTACCAGAATTTCAGAGAGTTTCAATTAGTGGGGACTACTGTGCAGGGGTAAGAAACCATTGTTTCCCCACTTTGTGTATCTAGAGGGTGAAAAAAAGTGCTGTATGTGTATATGAAGTGTAAAATGCCAATATGACGGATCTCTGCAACAAACTCTTGAGTTGCTTTGTGAATGCAGTGGTTTTTAAAACAGTGAAAGTCAAGGTCAGGTTGTTTTATACTCTTTGTAATAATAAATTGGATAAAAATGTAATTAGATGTTCAGTAAATAGGTAATATATGGTAGGATAAAATGCATATTGTATTTGGATTCTGCTGCTGTCACTGGCTTCCTGACACCTTGGGCGCGAGCCTTATGGCCAAGCCCCCCACACTTATAATTCTGGAAATTCAGTCTCCTTGTTACTGGTGTGGATTTGATTTATTGCTAGAAGTGCTATTTTTGTCAGTATTTATGCAGGTTTTCTTTTCAGGTGACAGTTGATGACTATGAACAAGCTGCCAAGAGCCTGGTAAAAGCTCTTCTCATTCGAGAGAAGTACTCCCGTCTTGCCTACCATCGCTTCCCAAGAACAACATCTCAGTACCTGTGCAGCATGCGGGATCAAAAATGGAAGGTTGAAGATGAGGTGCATCCAGGTGAATATCCTTTTAAAAATACTCAATTACATTCTAAAAATTTTAATTCTATTTTAAAATACAGAATTAAACGTGTGCACTGCTGTATTAAAGTTGTATTTTTGTGATGATCTCTTCTGAGTGTCTTTGCCTCAGTAATTTATTCTGTTATTGAGTGGAGAGTCACCGACTGACCTAAGTTATAAATCCCATATCTAATTTGAAACTTTGAAGTTGTCAAAACCTAAAACCCTTGACCAGACTCTCCTTGATTATTATATTTTATAAGCAAATGGGGTGTTAAGTAGCGTACTTGTGCTCCCCCATGAAAAAGCAGTATGGCTATGGTTTAAAGTGAAAAGTCATTTCTCCTCATCTTGGCATATGGAACTGAAAGGGATGATGAGCTCATCTACATCGTAAAGTGAAGCATGATACAAGACATGCCAGTTAGCAAGCCCTGAGTCAGGAATTTCACAGGCAGGCTACACTTGCCAGGTCAAAGCTGGAAGCTGTAGAGTCATATTTGTTGGGCATTCTGCCTGGGTAAATAAAGTGTGATCTCTCAACAAGGCTTATTAGGTTGAACACGTTCCCCCACTATGTATGTCACAAATTATTTTTGTCACTTAGGTGGGTTGTGTCTTGAAAGTTTTGCTTGTGCATTAAGCTGTTTGCACTGTTTGTTTTTGGATTAGGCTGTGTGGAGCAACCTTCAGTGTGTACAGATGGGCCACTGTAGATGTGTCCATGTTGTTGACAATTTATTTTCAGCCTCAAAGTGACATTTTAAATCAATTACCCTCTGGCTCAGTTGTTGAAAGAGGGAGAATAAATATGTTTTTGAGTGTTTGTTTTCCAGGAACACTGTAAAGGGGACAGTATACTGAATACTCAAGACAGGGAAGGTATTTTGGAACAGCTGCCAGGGAGATATTTCCAAGCTATTATTAGGTTAATAGCTTTCTTACAGTTATGATTTTAAACTTACAACACAAAAAATGCAATCTCATTACACAATGTCTTAATTAGCACAAGTTTGAGCTAGATAGTTATGAATATGAGAGATAAGGATGGTATCAGTTTATGATATACATTCAGATGCTCTGGGTGAATAAAAAGCTTGGTTAATTACTCTTCTGTCTTGGCATAACTGAATAGGTAAAAGAAGAAATCTCTGATAAGACTGAGCCAAAGAATGTAGTTCAGTTGACATAAATGCAGTCAGGACACTTATTTTGTGCTGGTTGCATTCATCAAATATTGTAAAAGAAGTGATGAATGCACATAACATGAGTGACCACGTAAGCTATATCTCCTAGAACTATGAGTGATCACCTGAATCTTAGGAAAAAACTCATTTTGTAAAGGCATTGCAAAACTCTAGTGAACAAATCAGAGTCGTGCTTTTGGGACTTTGTGCTTTTGTTTACGATCAGAAGGCCAAGGAAAAAACTGGAGTTGTGTTGTACTATCTATGGCTTCATGCTCCTGGCTTCTGTTCAAAAGCAGTTAAACATAAAAAAGAGTTTTATTAAAATAACCTCAAACAGAACCATCACCACAAGAAACCCACAGAAAACTACATACAAACAAACCAACCCCCTCAAACTGAAAAACTCCGACCAAAACACAACAAAACCAAATGACTCTGTGCTCAAATACAAAATTCCAAAATTCCTACAGTGAGTCAGAAGGTAAAAAGAAAATAATGAAGGTGGTATGAAGTCAACAACTCTTATTGTTCAAAATCTCAACTGTACTTCATCCTAATTTAAATAGTTCTGCAAACTTATTTTTAAATTTGTCCCATCACACATTAATAAATAATAGTATTAAATCTGAATACATTGGGTCAGAGAACTCTAATAGCATACAACATTTGAATTAAGGTAGGCACTTAATTTAGAGATGGGCTGCAACTAAAGCCTGTCAGAGTACAGCTTTGTTGTACGAGCAGATCTTTCATAGTAACTTAATGTGATTTTTAACAGGTCTTAGTACTTTCATTAAAATTAGCATTACAGAAGCAGAAAATTCTTTTTGCAATTATTTTGCCTTTTGTATATCTTATTTCTTCCAACTATAATGTAAATTTGTTTTCAGATTTCCATTCACCCCCAGAAGAAAATGAAGATCCTTATAATCTCAATGATGCTCCAGACAATTTGGATTATGTTATCAAGCTAAAGGGTGGCATTCCCTTCGTTTATGATAATAAAGAGATGATGGAGCTCAGTGAGCCTCGGAGTTTGCCATATCCTGACCTGCAGACCTACACCCTTGACCTGAGCCACGTTCTTGCTCTAATTGCAGATGGCCCAACGTATGTTTCTCTTTTGCTATTCTCTGCCCCTTCAGGCAGTCGCTTACCTGTAGCTTAGTACTTCTCATTTCTGTGATACTTAATTCCTCAGCAGGCCCGTTCTGCAGTAATGTTTTGTTTTGACTTTCTCAAGCATTAAGGCATCACGGAAAACCTTAAAAGGAAAAAATGCAATGCCACATGTGGCTACCTTTCATTTCTTTGGTTTCTTTGCATCAACTGTGGCAAAATAAGGAGTTAACAAAAAAATCAAGGAATTGCCCAAATGTTTCTATTTAAGTCAAATCTGACCCGAACTTCTTGAAGCATGGGAACTGAAAGTTGAACCTCACCTTTTGTGGTTTTTTTGTTTGTTTTTTTTTGTTGTTTGTTTGTTTGTTTTGTTTTGTTTGTATTTTTTTTGTTTTGGCCTGTGCTTAATTTGAAGTTTTTGAACAGATGTCTGAAATTCCTTCATGTCTGTTCTGCTCTTGTTGCATGAAGAGAAACCCTGCACATGCAGAGCATACAGATCAGCTCAGCAACATAAATATTGAGTCTGATTTGGTCCAGATGTGAATTAACTGCTCGTGTGCTGCAAAACTGACCCATACATGCACAATCAAAATAGGTCTAAAATTTCCCAGAACCATCAAATTCCTGGGATGTCTCTCAAAACTACAAATATGACAACTTTAGTACGGTCACTCACAGTTATGACAAAGCAATGTCCATGTCTCATGCAGGATGAAAGCATGTGCATCTAGTTTTTAGGTTTACTTCCTAGCTGAGGATTGGAAACAGCACAGTCTCTCGTGGCCTCAGCACCAGGAAAGGAAAAGAATCCACTCTAGGATGGAACTAAGCAGGAAAGTGGACTGTTCTTCTGAGCTATTTGCCCTGTGTTGCCAGCACTGCGTTCCTGGCCCTCCTGCCTTGAGAGCTTATTGCTGACTGTGTGCCCAGTGAGCCCCACCTGTGCATTCTTTCCCCTTTGAGTCTGTATCACACCTGTGTCAGTCTGTCTGCGTCGTGCGGGGAAAGTGCGGAGCCTGTGGGAGAACAGACCTGGCCCATTCCCTAAACCCTTTCTCAGGAGCAAACCCCTGTGCTCGTGCCAGCATTATCAGCACTCCTGCTCCTGATCAGTGCCAGCTTGAGCAGGCTTTGCTTACAGTAAGCAATGGGCAAATGCATTGCAGTTACAGTGCAGTATATTCCAAGAGATGGATAATGAGAAGATAAAAGAAGGCAAAACTTGAAATGAAAGTCATGCTTTAAACTGCAAAAAGGTTAAAGTTAACTGTTAACTTTAAAGCTTAGATAACTTAACAGTCATAACAGGAAGGTCTAACTAAGAAGAGCCTTGGCAGGACAAGTTAGAACACTCAGCACCTTGGTGAACGCAGGGCAATCACCTGCTCCTTTCATTAATTCAGAGTAAGCTTCTGCAGGCTGATTCCTACTCTGATAAATATGAACAAACCAGAAGAAAAAGGTCTTTCCCATAGTCCTGTTGCACAAGTTCTTCTTATGGTATTGTTTCCCCATTTGCAGCAAGTGCTTTCATGTCATTTATGCCCATCACAGGTGGGGCTCCTCAGAGACTAAGAACTATTGTTCTTTAACCTTAGCTGTTGGTAAACTGATTAAATCTCACCCCTACTCTTCAGGCTTGTGGTCTTTTGGGTAACAATGTAAACCATCTGAGACTTCCTGCAGAGGCCAAATGGGTCCTGATCAGTATTGGGCGCTGGCAGATTGGGTTTGAAGCAGACTTCCAAAACCACAATGGGATTTGTGTCCTATTGAGGCGAGATTGTTAACAATAAAGCAGCAAAAAGAAGGCAATTACATTAACAGTGCTACAAAAATATTGTAGAGACTATAAGAAWTGACAGATGGTGAAGAGAAAAACCATGTCATTGGTTAAAAATAGAAGGAGAAACATGACAGAAGATGAAAGTGAAGACAGAGCTCTGAGTAGGCAAGCGGGAACAAAAAAGCATATTTTCTAAAAAGGGCACAAGAAATTATTTTGGAAAAAAGTATTTCTACACAATATATGTGTTCATAAGGCATGAAAAATGAAGGATATTGGATCTTATCTTGGCTTCTCACATTTAATTGAAAAAGCATATAATTTTGGAGGATTTTTAAAAAAAGTTTTCATAATGGGTAAGGCTGAATGACAAGTTGTTTTTGTTATATACGAGACGATTGTTCTGTTGGAGGTACCATTTTAGAGAAGTTGCAATTGAAATCACATTTGATGATAGGTTTCCTGCTTTGGTCTAATGATGAATACTTGGACAATAATTTTGGTAATGGAGAGTTCTGTTTGAGATTTCACTAATAACTTTGGTCTGAAATCATACTGGATACTGACCTATATATTTGTTAACCAGTACAGTTAAAAAAATGGATTTGTCTTCGTTTTCAAAAGAAATTAGCTGTTTTTACTGTGAAAACTGATGTTCTTCGTGAACTTGAAATACAAGTTAAGTTACAGTTCCTTTCTGTGTTTTTTTTTACAGAAAAACATACTGTCATCGGAGGCTTAACTTTTTAGAATCTAAATTTAGTTTACACGAGATGTTGAATGAAATGTCGGAATTTAAAGAACTAAAGAGTAATCCCCATCGAGACTTCTACAATGTTAGAAAGGTAAGTGTGAGAAAGCATGACACTGTTTTTAGTAGTGTTTTAGCAATTTTGTTTTTCTTATGGGAGATGTACATCATATGCACAGAATTAAATTATTTTAAGAATGTGAATATTTTTTTGCATGGGAGCTCTCCAGGAAAATTAACTTGAATGTGCATGCATTAATTGGATTATGCTAAACTAATTTGTTTACTTATTCTGAATCAAAGGGGCTTAATTGTGTGTAGATTGCTTTAAAGGAGTGAAACAGCATTAATCAAATGAAGCTCACTTGGATTATGAATAAAACTATCCATATGGAGGTTTAATTAATTTTAATGAACTCAAATACATTCAAATGCATTTATCTCTTTTCATGTAGGTACATCCTACTAGACTGTAGTCAGAACAGCTGTATAGATTTTAGATGATAATTGCACTTCACATTGAAAATAGATGTTTAAAAACATGTCAAAAGACCTCCCACAGAAACTAAAGTGAGGGTTCATGCTGCATTCAGTATGTGGTAAAAAAGTCTGTGATATATTAAGTAAAAAGATTATCTGAGTTGCAGTCTTGGCTCCCTCTGAGATACACTGAGATATAATTAGGAGGCAGGTAGGGGAATCAAGGAGCTGATTTAATTTCCTGACACATTCACACCCAAGGGAGCTGTATTCTCTTCAAAGCATGGAAGCAACAGTGTTAGGCTGCTTCACTCACTTCCGTTTCCTGAAGTGGAGAGGAAATTGCTGGAATCACTGCTTCATTTTGATAGGTGAGATTTCCTCACAAAGCAGTAATTGCTGCTGGTGTTTTTACCACTTTGGGTCCATTTTGCATTGTTTCTCTATGCAACTGGAAGAGATAATCCTTTGTAACTTTGGGTTTACTAATCCTTCTTGTTACATTTTGGGTAGCACAAGTTCATCAAAAAGTCCTCTTGGCCTTTCCCTATAATTCCCAGCGTGCTTGCTGGCTACTGAATGTTTGCTACTGTTGTGGTAATAAACTGTCAAAGGTAAAAGTGTTTGATGGCTGTCCCGTGTCTGTCACAAGGGTAGAAATAGAGGAGTTGTCAGGTAAGTTCTAATGGATTTCATTCTTCCCAACATTAAATGTATGGATGGGAGGATCTGTCAGCTAATGCACTCAAGTGGCAGAGACTCAGCTCCCAACCTAACAGTTTTCTTGCATAACCCTGGAAAGATATTTGCTGCATGCCACATTCACAGAAAACGCTTCAGAGACTTCAATAATAAAAAGACTTTAATAATAAAACAGAGACTTTAATAATAAAACACATGGTGACAGACATGCAGAGGTGTGGATCAGGTGACTACCACAATCTATTTGGTTACTGAGAAGTTGTAATTAACAGGATTGTACTTGCAAAGTTCAGCTTTTGATTTAAAAGCAAATGTTCAATGTTTCTGGGCATATCTTAATTATTTTTTAATTATCTGCTGTTGAATAAGCCAATCTACAAAAGGATCTATGTTGTTTAAAAGCAAAAAATGTGCATTGCTTCCCCTCTGGCAATAAGCACATTCCAGAGAGCAGGAACCAGCCTGCTCTTCTCTGCCAGAGACCATTCCTGCTGCCAGGTACTGCTTGAAAAATTCTTGCTGCACAGAGTTAATCTTGTTTAAAGTATTTTTCTGAAGCAAGTTTACAAGTAGTATTTTTCTGAAGTACTCTGGAAAATGAACTGCACTGTAGATACTGTTTCTGTAAGCCCCCAGATAATCTTGTTTTCTCTATCTCTTGCTAACCCAAGTAATGTTTGGAATTGTAACTTCCCTGAATTGCTACCTCTCTAATAACAGAATCAATGAAACATTTTGAACAACATTTCCCAGCCTGTGTTTTCAAGATGTCTCTCTGTTTAGTCAGTCCTAAGAAGTGCACACTGTTCACAAGGAAAGCAAGGAACAGGATTCACCTTCCCAAAGGGCTGTTGGTGAAGTTGTCTGTTACATCCCCTCAGACGTGAGCATGGAGGCCCTGGTACAATCTGCTTATATGAAAAAGCGAAAGTAACTGATGGAAAATGCCAGAATTAGAACAGATATGAATAGAGTGGCAAGGTCAGTCAGTGAACATGTATTGCTGCATTTAAAAAGGTACAGTAGAAAGCTGGCCAGAATTAATTACTGGCATGGCAACCAAACATTACTGATTTTCCCCTGTCTCTTGTCCCCTTCCCCAGTTCTCCTCCAATGAGCTCATGTATTTCTTAAAACCCAAGATAAGGCTCATCTTAAATAAGGGATGTGCATGTGTATTTCTTGCATATTGAACTTAACTGGAATGCAACCTAAGATAATGTTTTGCACTGGACCTGGATAATTGCCCTTTCTTAAGGACACAGATATTTCTCTAGACAAACCAGAGTCCACAGGTGGTAAGACAGCATGGTTGGCTCCCCTTGGCTCCCTGCAGGAGGTGGACAACTGTCCATGTAGTAAAACACTTGAGATGAGACTCTTGAGTCTGCCATCAGCAGACTCACCCACATCCTCCAGCTGATGCAAAGCAAAGCGCAGGCAACACCATTCTCCACATAACTCTTGGGTTGCCTGCATGAAGGAGGAAATTAAGGAACAAGACTTGAGCTCTATGGCACACAAACTTGGAACGGAGTTTTAACCTTTATGTACCAGGATGTCTTGCCATCTATGTCAGATTTTTTTTGAGGACTTCCAATAGACCTTTGTGTCCGACAGCCTCAAGTAATTCAGAGCAGACAGGTGGTGTTTTTTTAAGGTGAAGCCAAGAAGCTTTTTTACCTAATATGTATTTGCTGCCTTTGTGATATATATCTGTGTACTGCATTGGTAGGTGTCCTTCACTTCAAAGAGCTTTGATACAGTTTCTAAAGATGAAAAAATCACAGCCTAAGCCGCTTTGGATATCCTTTCTCTCTGTAGCCACTAATTCAGTATGTCAGCCAACCAAACCTGAGGATATGGCCTAGCAGTGACTTTTACACATGACATTTTCCTGCCTGCAGTCTTACTAGCTCAGGTGCCTGATTTTGTGAGGCAGCACAGCTTTGGCTCAGGCTGAGGAACTGTGCATGAAAGAATGCAGTTCCTACATTCACAGCCCTGCTGAATGCTCTATTGCAATAGCTGACTGCTGCTGTGACATACCCTTTGGATTAGGGCATTGCAACTGAGTTGGTTTTTTTTTTTTAATTATTGGTTAGACAAAAAGGAAGTTAATTCTAGTTGTTTTTAAGACCAGAGTTGAAATACCACTGGTTGCTTGTAAGAACGGAAGTTAGAGTGGATTTAAATTACTACTAAATTCTATAGATCTCACAAAATACTGAATGAAATTAGCAGATATCTGCTTTCTAAACCTTTGATTAGAAGGCCTGTGAGCAAATGCTGAACCTGTATCTTAATGTCTTTGAGCGTTGATTCATTCTGAGCTTCCTTTTTTCTTTTTTTAATTTTTTTTTTTTTTTTT